TATGAATGAAACCTAGCGAAAGCTGAGCAAGACCGTAAAGGACAAAATTATAAAAATCCTATCGGTAAACCTTAAAGACAGACCCAAATGAAGAGAGAGAGAGACCCACGTTCATGAATCAGAATAATCAGTGATTTCAAATTTCCACCAGTTGATTAATAGCTGCAATGAACTCCTGGTCAAAATACCAACTGAGTTGTCATTAATGGAACTGACTAGATGATTTTAAAACTTACACGGAATCACTAAGAGCCAGAAGAGCCGAGACACATTCAAAGAAAAATGTGGACTTACTTTACCAGATATGACGACTAATTGTTGTTTAGTCGATAAGCTGTGTCTGATTCTTGTGATCCCATAACCTCCAGCCCACTAGTCTCTGTCAATGGGATTTCCCAGGCAAGAGTACTGCAGTGAGTCGCCATTTTCTTCTCCAGGGGATCTTCTGGACCCAGGGATCAAACCCGCGTCCCCCACACTGGCAGACAGCTTCTTTACCACTGAGCCACCAAGGAAGCCCATCAGAACTAACTAAACAACAGTGATTAAGATAGCTTGGTATTGGCATAGAAACAGACAAATGGAACAGAACAGAGTCCAGTCACAGACCTACACGTGTACGGATAGATGGCAAGTGGCTTTGCAGATGCCTAGGGAAGGGGCTGATTATATACATAGACAATGCAGGGACAGGTGGGGTAACCCTCCGTGGGGAGGTATGAAAGTGAATCCTTACCCCATGCTACGTCCAAAGAACAATTATCGAGTTGGAAAGATATACATGACACATGTTACTGACAGTCTCAAGACTATATAAAGAATTCTTAGATTAATAGAAAAAGACAAACACAGGAAAATGGGCAGAAGAGTTGAACAGACACTTCACAGGAGACAAAATCAACATGGCTAATAAATATGTGAAAATGTGCTCAGCCTCATTAGTAACTGTTTAGTCACTAAGTCATATCAGATTCTTTGCGACCCCAAGAACTGTAGCACACCAGGCTTCCCTGTCCTTCACTACCTCCCAGAGTTTGCTCAAGCTCACGTCCAATGAGTGAGTGAAGTCTCTCAGTCGTGTCCGACTCTTTGCGACCCCAAGGACTGTAGCCTACCAGTCTCCTCCGTCCATGGGATTTTCCAGGCAAGAATACTAGAGTGGGTTGCCATTCACTTCTCCAGATCTTCCTGACCCAGGGATTGAACCCAGGTCTCCCACATTGTAGGCAGATGCTTTACCATCTGAGCCACCAGGGAAGTCCGGTAATAACTAGCTAAATGCAAATTAAAGCCATAATTATACACCCACCAGCTTGGCAAAGATGGAGAAAAGTCTGACAATCCGAGTGTTAACAAGGAATGTGGAACCAAGGAGATCTTTTACTGCAGAATTCTTGGGAAACAGTGGAAGGCCCTGATGCCCTACAACTCAGAGTCCTGAGTACACACCCCAGAGAAACTAGTGCACACATGGGTCAGAAACAGTTAAGACTGTTGCTAGCAGCACTGTAATTGTCCCAAACGGCAAACTAAACATCCATCCACAGTAAAATGGATCCATGAACTACTATACCATCAACAGAACAGTTTTCTGCAAGAAACTACAGCTACGCATAGCAACCTGGATAAACCTGAAGACATGACAGGCAGAAGACAGATGCCAAAGCTTGCATGGGTATGACTCCACTCATGTAGGTGCACAAACAGGAAAGCACGGAGACAGATGCAGGCTTCACAGTAAAGCAGGAGCCCCCACAGCCGGGGGAGACAGGGCAGGGGTGGCGCTGAGCTGGGTAGGGCACGGTGGGGGGGGGGGGCTGGTCCGCTTCAAAGCAATGCTATGCTGTACATCTGTGTGTTCTCTTTTCTCAATGCGTTTTATTCCACAGGAAATGAAAGGGAAAAGGAGGTGCCTCAGCTCTGAGTAGCTCAGGGTGTGGCCAGGATGCAGCTGGAGAGTGACGCAGGGGCAGCCATCAGGCAGCCTCTGAGGTTTCTGAGGGAGGCAGATGGGTCAGGGCTGCTCTGTGCCCCATGACTCTCCCTCCCCAGAGTGCTGGTAGCCTGGCCCCCAGCAGCCACTTCCAGGGCCCTGACAGGGAGCCTAATGTGTGTGCAGGCTGCCCGGCCAGGGGCTCCCTGCTGCCAGGTCATAGCCAGAGGTGGGTTGCGGTCCTCCCCTCACTGCCCTTCCTCTAGGGACGCAGGTTTGTCCATCGCCAGCTCCCTCTCCTGATGTTCCCTGCGTGGCTCTGCCATCCCCTCCAGAGGCCAGCCCAGTGCCGCCCAGCTGGACAAGAAGCCCCTTGGCCCCAGGCCTGAGGCCCCTGGAGCTCAGCAGGGGGCTGCTGGAAGCCCCCTCCCCCCCCCATGCCCCAGGCCAGCAGGGGACGTCCACGCCATGTGACCCAGGGTTGGGGTTGGGGCAGGGAGCAACCCCGATTGGTTTCGTCAGGTCTCTTCTGGTTCTAAAAGCACATTTTTGCAATAAAAAATCACTATTAACAAGTTACAGGGGCTTTCTGCACTCTTTCTGATCAACTGCAGGAAGAGTAAAACCAGACTCAGTGCTTGGCTTGGAGGAGCTCTCAAAGCAGCTGGGGCCTCTTCCCAACGGCAGGGACTGAACCGCCTCTGGACTCAACCAGGCTGGGCAGGTCAACAAAGCCTCTGTGAGCCTCAGCTTCCCTGTCTGTAAGGTGAGGGGCACCATGGCCCCTCGGGTGGGCCTCCCGGCGGGTCTACCCACAGACTAGGGCTGGGAGGACGGAGAAGCGAAGTGGGTCCGTCTTGTCCTCTGCCACCCCCCAGCTGTGGGCCCCTTGCTGGGTGAAGGCAGGTCCGGAACCCTGGGGGGTGCAGGTTAACCAAACACCCCACAATGCCTGTCCGAGGCCGCTGGGCAGACGCCAGGGTCTGGGCTCAACGGCAAAGGACAGATCATGTGGCTGGGACGCAAGCCCAGGCCGCTCCGCGGCTCGGTTTTCTCACCTGTGAAACGGTCTGCCTGCAGCTGGAGGAGCGGCGGCTTAAGTCAAGTCTGCAGCTTGGTGCCTCGAGTACAGGAAGTGCTCGGTGCTAACCACCCTCCAGCCAACGGGGGGAACAGAACATTCTGGCAGGTCTGGGACCGCCCCCCCGCCTCCACATCAGAGGATCACATCTGGTGCCCCATCCACTGCCCCCAGCCCACACACTCTAGCAACCGAGGCCCTGAGCTTGCATGGTCCACAGAGGTGGGCAGCTGTCCCGGCAGGCCCTGTGTTGGGCCTCCGGCAGCAACAGGCCCCATCTGTCCAGGCGGCCGGAAGGACCTGTCACCTGGCTCTGGATGCCAGAACCCCCACAACTTCCAGCTCGGGGTCTTCTAACACGAGCTGGCTCCCAAGCAGCTGCATGCCAGCTAAAGGCAGTAGCGTTCTGCAGCGGTCCCCAGCACGGCAGACCCCGAGCCTGGCTGGAAACTACGTCTGACCCCAGGCCCCACTTGAAGCGGCGGCCACACAGGAACGGTGTGCCTCCAGGGGTTCAGGGCAGAGCAGGTGAAGGAGGGCAAACTGTTCATTCCCCGTAGATGCTGCAGGAGGAACACCAGGACTCCCAAACCCCAGACCCCCAGAGTGGGGGTGACCCCGGTGACCCCCATCCCCGGGGGCTGAAGTGGGAACATCTGCAGAGCTGGACACCCCGTTTCTGGAAGCAGACGGCCGTGGTCTTCCCCATCAGAGAGCCGACATCCCTGCCTGGCCCCTCTCCCCTCTCCACCACCTCCCCCAGGACGTGCCCCAGGGCAGAGGCAGGGACGACCGAGTGGCCTTCTCCTGGGGCCTTTAATCAGTGCCAGTGGGCACAAGTGCTCTCGTGGCCTAGGTTTTACACAACAAATTCCTCTTTCCTAGCAAAAGAGGGCAATGAAGAGGATCAAATGGCCCTAGGTTCCCTGGCAGCCCCGACACCAGTTGAGCTTGTTTTTATAGAAAAAAAAAAAAAAAATCACCCCTGGATGGTCACGCCAGGGAGACCAGCTTGCTGGAGGAAACACGGAGGTACTCAGGGCTGGGCATGTGTACGGACCGGAGCATCTGGGCATCTGGTTCCATCGTCCCCATCTATCCTTGGCCGACACGGGACCCACTCTTCCCCTAGCGCTGTAGCCATCACTTCCTGCAGGAAGCCTTCCTGGAACCCCCAGCTGGGTTCCAAGCTCCCAGCCCCTGCAGACCCTACTGCTGCGGACAGTGGACACTGGGAGAGCCTCCCACCTGGCTGTGTCCCAGCTGCTGGTTAATCCAGCCAATGACCCAACTAGAGATGTGCGGGGCCTTCAGCCTGCTCTGGACTGGACTCGCGGCAGCGGAATCTGGTCCTTCACGTACAGGCTTTGAACCCAGACCGTCCGACTCTGGGGTCCTGTCCTGTGACCAGCTGTGCACCCAAGATCAAGCCATTTAGCGACCTGTGGTCTAGAATACAAGACCACCATTTAAGGCGAGCTGACCTGGCGAGGTCACTGCTTGGACCCTGGAGTCGGTACTCAGTTAGCCCTGGCCACGGTGCAAAGGTCATCTGTGCTTTATTGCCCAGCACCGGCCCCTCACGGAGCCTGTGTTGTAATGTTCCTGGGGGGTCCAGCCCCTGCCTCCCCACCCCAAATACGCCAGCCCTGCCAAGCTCCCAGCCCAGTGCAGGGTGGGTGTGCTGGGGGAACCTCCATTCCTGTCCGTGAAGTCCAGCCCAGGCTCAGTCCGGGGCCCCTGGGCAGTGGGCAGGGTGAGATGGGAGAGCCCCACCCCATCCTCTGGGGCCCAGGGCCCGGACAGGACCCGCCCAGCAGGCTGGGTCCCGGCCTTCAGAGTCCTCTGAGATGTCCGCTGGGGAGGCCCCCGGTCAGAGCTCGCTGCTGGCTCCACTCAGCCTCCCGCGTGGGCCAGCCTCCTCCTGCGCGGCCTGGGGCCGGGGCCCCCAGGGTCGCCTCTGCCCAGTAGCGAGGAGCGCAGGTGTCACCTGGGCCTGGCATAGCCGTACGGGTGCTGCAGCAGCAGGCTCTGGTGGCCGGGCAGCACGTGGGTGTGGTAGTGTTCCACCAGGCTGCCCACGCTCACAAACAGGACCTCACCCTCCAGGTAGAACTTCGAGTCCTGCGGGGGGGAGGGGGCAGTGTCGGGGGGGCTGGCCAGCCTGCCCGCCCTGTGAAATGGGGTGCTCGGCAGTAACTCCCGCTCAGGGGGTGCCAGCAAGGTCTGCAGATAAGTTGAGGGTTGGGGGCGGGTCACCCCATCTCCTCTGGGGTCCATGGGGGGACACAGCTGGGCCGGGAGTTGGGGAGGGGAGGGGGAAGGAGGAGGGGTGTTTAGAGGCGCGGGCCTGAGTGCCCACTGCCTGTGCTCCACCAGGGAGACTCCCGGGACCCCAGCCAGGCCCCAGGGCAGGCTTCCCCTCCTGCCTGGGGCTTTCCTCGAGGCCGCCTGCTCACCTTCTCAAAGATGCGGTAGTTCCTCACTTTGCTGGAGGTCTCATCCCACACGACCAGAACCTGCAGGCAGAACAAGGCTTGCTCACCTTGGGAAGACGATGACCCTTAGACCCCGAGCGGCCCCTCGGAGACCGAGTCAGTGGGCAGCAGAGTCAAGGCTGGGTCCGTGGGAGAGGGCGGCCCTGCACACGGACAGCAGTGCCCAGGGATCCCACCCTCAGAGTCGGGTGAGACGTGAGTAACAGCAGCATGTGTCTGGTCCACGCTGGTACCACCCCTGATAGTCATGGGGCAACTGAGGCCCAGTGAGGTCACACAAGTCACCCGTGGAGGGCCCTGGGCAGAGCCAGCAGACGTCCTACCAGGCTCAAGGCCCCAAGAAGCCCCCCTCAAGTTGCAGGAACAGGAACCCCACCCTTTCCTTCCTGCCTCCTGCCCGTGCTGCGGGGTGGGCATCACTGCCAATGGTGACGAGACCCCCGGGCCCACCTCCCTCGGTGCCTACCTTCCCTGACTTGGTGGAGGAGTTCCGGATGCAGTAGAGACCATCCTGGGGTGCCCCCCGGGGGCTCGTGGTCTTGAAGAGCCTACAACAACACGGCTTCGTGGAGGGGAGCCGGCCGTGGGCAGCTTCCGGGGACCCTCCGACCCCACCCACCTCCTCCATTCTGAGAGCACCGGGGGCCACAGCGGCAGACGCACAGAGCCCGGGCGGGGGGAGGCCAGAAAGGCAGGAAGACCTGAGGTGGGTGGGGGGCAGAGAACCTCAGGTCTGCCCAAACAAGGCCGTGGAGAAAGGCAGACGGCACACCGACCTTTCCACCTCGCAGGACTCGGTGGTGTTGATGAAGACTGAGCTGGGCAGTGGCACCTGAGTGGTCAGGGTCAAGGGTCAGGGTTAGGGTCGTGGCCCGGGACCGGGGCTGGGGTCCCTCCACCCCGCTGGCTGCCAGCCTGTGCTGGGAGCCAGGCCTTTGTACCGGGTTCGACCCTCCAGCCCCAGGGCCCCCAGCTTTCCGACAGCCCGCCACCCACCTCCACAGCCCCCTCAGCGGCTGAGATGTGGGCACCGCCCCCCAGCCTTGCCTTCTCATAGTCATCATCGGAGTCCTCCCCGCCAGCGTCCGCCTGCGATGTGTCAGTCTGCACGGCTTTCCGGGGTTTTTCAAAGGAGAAGCTCCTGAAACTCTGCCCGTCAGGGGGTGATCGCCTGGGAGCGGGACAAGAAGAGGGAAGCCGTGGTCCGTCAGACGGGGGACAAAGCCCCGCTCCCCTCGGTGACGCCCCCTCACCCTCCGGGCCACCGCACTGAGCCTCGGAACCCAGGAGGTCTGGGGCCTGAAGCCCTGGCGGCCGTCAAAGGCTCGTGACTGTGGAGCTCCAGGAGCCGGGGTCCGTGCTGACCACCCTGGGGCGGCAGGAATCGCCTGAGGCTAGGAAGCCTGAGCTGGGACCCCTGGCCTGGGTCATCCTGGGGTCTGGATGCTGCAGAAAAGGCCCCAGTCTAAGGGCAGTCTCCTTGCTACGGACCAGCCCTGTGGCCTCAGCCAAGCCATGCTCCCCCGACAGCAACCGAGGACAACGCCAACAGCCCCCAAGGACAACGCCAACAGCCCAGGCCAAAGAGACACGCCCTTGCGTGTGACCATGTGCTCCTAAGCCAGGGCTCTGGGGAGGATTCAGGAAGGCGCCTGGGATGGGCTGCCAGGCTGTGGGTGCCGCTGTGCTGTGGATGATCGGCTGTGGCCCAGGCGGCCCTGTGGCACTCAGGGCCAGGCCCAGAGCCTGATACAGGGACCCGGCCTGCGACTCTGCAGCTCCTCACAGGACAGAACCGCCAGGGACGTCCTGACAGCACAGTGCTGGCAGAGCCTGGGGAGGAGCGAGACACGGGCAAGGGCTCCCGGGGAGAACCGGGCGGGAGCATCCGCTCGGGGCTCGCCCCGTGGCCCCCAGAGCCTTCACTATTGAGGGTCCCACGTGCTGGAGATGCCATGACACACGCCTTTCCTGGCACTGCCCAGCAGTGAAGCCCACGGGGTCTGGAGCAGGCCTCAGAGGGAGTCGGGCGGTCCGGCATTCCAGGGCCTTTCCAGTTGGGAAGGGCTCAAGGCAGCCTTGGTGGCTTCAGAGCCAGCGCTGGGAAGGATGCTTGTGGCCCCAGAGGGCCCGCTGGGGCACGCTGGCCCACAGAGGCTCAGCACCACGCCTCCCCGCAGCCCTGTCCCCGGAAGGCCAGCTGCCCTGCAGCCGCCCCCCTGATCCTGGGGGGCCCTCCCCGCCGACAGGGGCTCCAGAAGGCCAGTGTCCCCAAAGCCCCCCTCGCCCACTGCTCCCCACAGCAGCCACAGACCCCAGGCTCACCACCCACTGGGTAAGGCGGGACGCCCCCGAGCCCCAGGGTCAGGTGTGAAGGGGCAGCCGGTCAGCCTAAGCAGGTAGGCGATCGAGGACCCTTACCCCCCCCCGGTGCCAGGGCCACCTGGCACCCATGTGGGCTGAGAGCCGGGGGCAGGGAGACAGGGTCACCAGTGGTCAAGAGGGTCAACGGGCTGGGGAGGGGATTCCGGGGGGCCCGGGCCGCAGACTCACTGGAGGTGCGGGAGCGCTGGCTTCTCTGGCCGGGGCAGGACGGGGGGCCGGTCTGCAGCCTCAGGCACGGGCAGCTTCAGCGGAGGCGGCCGGGGGGCCACGGGGGGCACACAGGGTCCAGGCCTGGCTGCTTCCCTCGGGGGGCCCTCTTCCACCATCTTCAGGAACTTGGGCTTGTTGGCCGGCACGGGTGGGGGCTCAGGGGCGGGTGGCCCCCGGGGGGACAGGTGAAAGGACTTGAGCTTGTCACAGTTCTGGGAGGCAGCCACGGCTGTGCTGGTGGGGCTGACCCCGTGCATGGGGATCCTGGGCTCCAGGCTGGGGCTGCTGTTCTCAGGGAAGCAAGGGGCTTTCCGGAGACCGGGCCCGGGGGGCAGGACGTTCAGTGGGGGGTCGCTCATCCTCCGGGAGACGGTGGGCACCCTGGGGCTGGGCTCCACCCGCCGAAGGGCCAGAGGCTCCCGCCTGGAGTCCTCGGGGGCCGGGCCGGCGTCGGGGAGGCCACGCTTGGGGGGCGGGGGTGGCAGCAAGGGGCCTGGACCCTTGGAGGTGAAGGAGTGGGCGCGGGGCACCTCAGAGAAGACTGGCTTCCTGGGCGTGGGCACAGGGGGCGGGGGGTAGGCCGGTGGGTGGATCAGGGCGTCTGCAGAGCAAAAAGAGCCACGTGGTAAGCAGGCGTCCGCCGCTGGAGGCTGTAGCTGCACCCTCTCTGCAGGTGGCGGACAGCCAGGGCCCCTGCCCCGCAGCCTGGCCGCCCCACAGCCCCCCACACCCAACACTCCCCGTGCGGCCTTCCTTCTGGGTCTGACCCGCCTCACGCCACTGGGCCCATCCCAGCCGCCCTCCAAAGCCTGGACAAAACTTCCCGAAGCCCAGATGCACATCAGGTTCCCAGAGGGAAAGGCAAGAGACAGAGAGGAGGCCGGGAAGCCTCCCAGGATTGGGCTCAGAGGGCAGCTGGGACTCCTGCCGACAGGCGAGCGAAAGGGCGGGAGCAGGCTGGGGGGAGACAGGTTGGGTCTACTCGTGACACATTCAAGCTGCTACAAAACATTTAGTGGACGCTGAGTGGACTTGATGCTTTCAAACTGTGGTGTTGGGGAAGACTCTTGAGAGTCCCTTGAACTTCAAGGAGATCCAACCAGTCCATCCTAAAGAAAATTAGCCCTGAATATTCATTGGAAGGACTGATGCTGAAGCTCCAATACTTTGGCCACCTGATGAGAAGAACTGACTCATTTGAAAAGACCTTGATGATGGGAAAGATTGAAGGCAGGAGAAGAAGGGGACGACAGAGGATGAGATGGCTGGATGGCATCACCGACTCAATGGACATGGGTTTGGGTAAGCTCCGGGAGTTGGTGATGGACAGCGAAGCCTGGTGTGCTGTCGTCCATGGGGTTGCAAAGAGTCAGACACGACTTAAGAGACTGAACAACAACAAGAGCCAAGAAGAGGTCATGAGGGGACGAAGGAAGGCAGAAATCTAGGTCACTGGACAAGAGGTCAAGGAACAGGTAGGCGGTGGTGGAAGAATTGGGCCAAGTCCCCGGGGATAATGAAAGTGACAAGGACAAGAGGGGCTGGGGAAGGAAAATGGGGTGGGGGAAGGACTAGTGAGCAATGAGACAGAAGGCAAGGGATGGAGAGGTGGGGACAGACAGCAGGGGCGGGGAGTGACAAGGCATAGAGCAGGACAGGGGCATGGCCCTCCCACAGGCCTCCCTGTCTTCCTGGTGATGCGGATGCAAGCTCACAGCCCTGGCTTTGGAAGGTAGGGCCGGGTGGGGCGGTAAGTGACCACATGGCCACCAGAGGTGCTCACAGAGGGCTAGCCTTACTGTCCCCGGCTCAGCCAGGGCCTGGCTAAGTGGAGGCCCCCCAATTTATCCCTGAACCCCCCTCTCCCACCCAGGCTAACTGGAGGAGGTTGGAGAGCAGAGCCCGCCACTCCTGGTCTGATCCTGCAAACCCTTGAGTGGAAGGAGGAAAACTGAGGCCCGAGGTGGAGATGGTCAGGCCTGAGGCCACCCAGAGCCCACCGGGACAGCCACACCCAGCGAGGGGGCTCTGCCCAGCCCCGAGGCCCTGCTCCTTGCCCCACGTGCTGCCCCGGCCGCGGGCCTGCCCGACCCCGAGGCCCTGCTCCTTGCCCCACGTGCTGCCCCGGCCGCGGGCCTGCCCGACCTACCCGCAGGCCTCCCGGGGTCGGGGGAGTCGGGCTCCAAGTACGAGTCGTCCTCGTCATCATGCTCGTAGTCTGCGGGGCAGACAGGGCGTCAGGCCCGGGGCGGCCTGGGACCAGGTGGCCGGGCGGGGCCCTCCAAACCCCACCCGCTCAGGGGGGCAGAGGCCAGGATGGGGACCCCAGACCCGTGACACCCAGGCAGCCTGAGGAAACCCAAGGGGCAGAGCAGGCAGGCCAGTCAGCCACGCCTCCCTCCTGGGCAGCAGCCAGCCGTAGAGGGGCGCGGGCCGGGCCCACGGTACGCATCTCACCTTCGCTGTCCGTGGGGTGCGGAGACAGGCTGATGTCCACCGGCCGCTCGATGGCGCCGTAGAAGCTATCGGTGTCCGAGCTGGAGTCGCTGAGAGTGGGGCGGGCGGTGAGGACCGGGCACTCACACACGTGGACACACACAGAACAGGAGACTGGGGCGGGGGGCGACTGCCTTCTCAGCCCCACTGTGGTTCTCACCACAGGCCCACCTCCTGCCTGCCCAGCCCGGTGCCAGGCCTCAGGGCTGGGCCCAGGTCCCCGCCCGCTCCTGCCCTGGGGGCTCAGGCAGGGGCCCACCGGAATCCTCATCACTGAAAGGACCGGGTAAATGCTCCCGCCTGGAGAGCCCCTCTGTCTGCTGAGCCACCCTCCCCATGCAGTCAGCAAGACCCGGACGGGCCCTGGGGACTCACTCCCCCGTGAAGGGGGCTGGGGACCCACAGGACTAAGCCGCTACAAAACCGGGCCTCCCGGCTGGACAGGTAAAACCACATGTCACCTCCCACACAGACGCCCCTGACAGGGCGCACGCACACACAGGCTTACACACTCGGGGGCACACCCTGCACACACACAGCCCAGGTGGCACCCGGATAAGAGCCTTCGACGAGGAGACCCTGGGCCCAGCCCCCAGGGGTTGGGGGCCGGCTCAGGATCCCAGCCGGGGCCCTAGGAACACCCTGCCTGCCCCCAGGCCCCGCCCACCTGGCGTCCAGAGGCAGCTCCTTCTTCTCCTGGAAGTGGCCGATCTCCTTGCGCAGCAAGGCCATCCAGCTCTGCAGGTGAGCCAGGGCCTCAGCGGGCAGGACCCACCCTCGCCTGCCCTGCCCTCCCCTCCCCACACAGGCTGGTCTGCGTCAACCCCCAAGGCCGGCTCTTCCAGGGCTGCGGCCCTCTGCTGGCCCACCCGGGTTCCTCCTGAGACCGCCACCCTGAGCGCAAGGGCTGCCGGCGCCACGCTCTGGGCGTGAGGACAGGAGACAGAGGAGCAGCACCCGCCCAGCTGCCCGCGTCCCGGGGGGCCCCACAGGGCCTGCATGGGGGCCGCAACCGTTCCTTGACCCTCAGGCACCTTGCGTTCGTCCTCCGAGGAGGCAGAGAAGAACCACGTGCGGTGCTTCTTGCTGATGTGGATGATCTTGAAGGGGAAGACGTTGTTAGACGTCGTCTCCTCAGCCGCCCGCATCACCCTGAGGTCAATGCCAGTGGTCACCGTCTGCTCCCCATCCACAGGGACTGCCTGAACATGGACCCACCCCTGGACAGGCCTTGGCACCCAGCACCACGCCCTGACGGACACGGTCATCCCCCCTATGCTGCGGCCTGAAGGCCGGGGTGCTTGCAGCAGAAGGAAGGGTGTGGGCAACGGCGGGCGGTGAGGGACGGTGAAGATCTGGGAGGGCTTTCAGGAAGCAGTGGTGCAGGGCTCCGAGTCAAGGACACGCTACTCTCGCTGCTCCCCCTACCCAGCAAGACTTTACTTGGATGCCTGGGGCCCCACCTGACCCCTGGCTGCCTGCTGGGGACCCTCATGGGGCTCGGGTCAGCCTCAGCTCCACCCCTGGTCCCAGGCAGCATGGCCCAGAGCACTTCAGAGAAGTGACTGTGGCTGTTCCCACAGCTGGGACATGGGGTTCAGGGAACAATCACATCTGCCGGGGGGATGCGGTCAGGCTGGGCACCCGGGCAGGTGCCATCGGGGGGCGTGGACCATGCCCTGGGGCAGGGCTGCACCCCCACCAGGCTGTGGGCAGTGTGTCTGTGGAAAAGAAACGTCCCTCTTCAGAAGACCCCAGAGCTCCACGCCCCCGTGCCTGCTGGCAGCCACAGGGTCCTGGAGCCTCTCCTATCCTCCGCTTGCAGACCTGGTACTAGGCTGGAGGCAGGATGTACGCAAAGGCCCAGAGTCACTCCCCAGGGGTCCCTGTCCTGCCACTGACGCCATGGGACCCGCGGGTTCTCCCAGGCAGGAAGGGCCAGGCCCTCCTCAGGGGACTAGAGCTGCAGGGCCTGGGTGGTGTGACCCCAATACCTAGAGCCAGGAAGCACAGGCCTCAGCGCAGGTCCCAGAGGCTGAAGGTGGGGCGGTGGGCCCGCCCCCGCCCCCGCCCCGCCCTGCCCAAGCCAACACGCCCCATCCCAACAGACCATTAGTCAGAAAGGCCCTGGGGGGCAGGCTCGTGGCTGATTAAAGCCCCAGCGCACAGCCTGGGCCAGCAGGCTGGGCTCTCGGCCAGGAGGCGGCAGTGGGGGAAAGGGTGAGGGGTGGGGAGGAAGGAGGGCTGGAGGGGGACTCTGGAGAGCAGATCCTGGAGGAGGCCCTCGCCTTGCCCCCAGGCCCTTGGCCAAGTCTGAGGGCTGGCTCTCAGGAGAGGAGGTACTGGGGTCATGAACAGGAAGGCCTGGACCTGCCCTAGTGGGAGCCGGAGGGAGCCCTGGCAGCCAGCAGGGCACTTACCGGTTGTAGCCGCTCAGTGAGAAGGCGCCCTGCGGGGAGGCGGATGTGCTGCTCTTGAAGTAGTAGATGCAACGTTTGTGGATGACCACAAAGCGCAGAGGCCCTGCGGGTGGGGTGGGCGGGGCAGGGCAGGTGAGCCTCGGCCGGGCAGGCCCCACTCTGGGGACCATGCCCAGAGGCCCAGGATGGCTCCAGGGTAGAGTCTAAATGGGCAGCAGGCTGATGGGCACGCAGGTCCCCCAAGCGCAGGGGGAGATTCGGGGGGCTGTGTGGCGCCCAGCAACAAGCACTAAAGCGGGCTCCAGGAAGGGCAGCGGTGGGGCCAGCGGCCAGAGCCACCTTGCTGGTGCTACCCAGCTTCTGGGAGGTGCCCTCCACCCCGGGTGGTGGAGTGAGGGTGGGGGCAAAAAAGCCCAGAGATGCTGCCAACAAGAGCGCCACCCCCAACATGGAGCCGACCCCAGGTAGTGATGGTGAGAGCCCTGTCCCTGAGCAGCCCCTCCTAGGCCCGGGAGCAGCTCAGCTCCAGGCCCTGGTTGGAGCCTCCAGTTCAGAAGAGGAGATGGGAGACACCAAACCAGTCAGCCTGGGCCCCTCAACCAGAAAGCACAGGGTCAGGGAGTCCCTGGCAGAGGGCACAGCTCAAGCAACCCCACGGGACCTCGTGGCTGGTCAGAGGGATGGACAAGGTCCTGATGCTCTTGGGCCTTCAGTGTCTCGAAGCCAGGCATCTCCCAGGCCTGGGGGCTCCGCCTCTCCCAGGCTGCTCTCCTAGGGACCAGAGCCCAGGTCTCATGAAGCTCTCCAGAGACCCAGCACCCAAATGGGTGTTAGCTTGGCACATGGGTTCACTACAGATGGAGTGACTGCCTGACTCAGTGAACACCAACCTGATACAGTGAAGGCACCATGCAGGAGCCAGACCTACCAGATCAACAAGGGCCCACAGCTCCTGGCCACGTGCTGAAGCTCCCTGGCCAGCTGGTCAGCACTATGCACCCAATGCCCTCCTGTCTCCCCCAGCTGCACCACCCCAGCCCCTCCCACAGCCCTGCGGGCTAGAAAGGCCAAGGTCAGGGCCCAAGAGGGCAGAGAGAGAAGGGAAACTCCAGAGGGCCCACGGCAAGGAAGTAAGCAGAGGCTCAGGAAGGCGGGTTGCCTGGCCACAGAGGCCCAGGGAGGCTCAGCCCTATTCCTGGGGCCTCCCTTCATGCCCCCCAACCCCCACCCAGGGGACTCACATTTGAGCAGCTGCAGCTGGGTACCGCCCTTCTTGTGCAAGTAGCCGGCCTTGGCCACACCCCCAGGCATGGTGAGCAAGTTCTGCGCACCAATGGCCTTCATGGGGACAGGCCAGTGCATCTCTTCGGCCGCCATGAAGCTACAATACAAAGGGAAGGGGACATGTCTTAGCCAGGGATGGGGACGCACTATTGCCTACTGTGGCCATGACAACCATGTGGTGGGTTGACTGGGATCCACCCCGTCAGCCTGGGGCATCACTCGGGCAGGGACCACACAGTGCAGACACCAGGGACAGGCTGCCTGCCTGGGGGTTAACACAAGACCCTCCGTTCCAGGACCCCACTCCACAGCCTCTTCCTCCTGTTCCAAGCACTCTCCCAGAAACCTTGCAGGCTCTTTAGTCTCACACTTCCAGCCTCCACCTGGAATGACTGCTAACCCTCTTCACCTGGAGAACTCCTACTCTTCCCTCAAATCCCAGATTCAGAGGGTCCTTCTCTGTGAGGCACCTCAATGCCCAGTCACATTCTGGTCCACTCCCTACTCCTGGTCCCTCTGAACTGCACCCCCACCCTGCGCTGTTTTTTCCAGTGCCTGTCCCCATCCCACCGGTGCCTGGTCCCTCCTGGGTCCACAGTGGAGCTGGAGGAGTCAGGGTCAGACCCAGAAGCCCAGTCTTGCTGGAACTGCTGCCCCATCCCCAGACACACATGCATACAGAGAAAACCACTGCTCTTGGCAAACCAGCGCACTCCACCAAATGTTCACTGCCTCCCGCCTCTCCGGACGCCTCATCCTCGGTGGGGCCCCGGCCTCGGCCTCTGCCCAGGTCCCGTGGGCTGCCCCCTTCAGCTCCCCCTGCACACAAAGCCAGCCCTCTGGCCTGCGTCCCCCAACAGCGGAGGCTACGACAAAGGCGCGCCACCCCCGAGCCCGACCGGCCGGCCCAGGACAGGGCACCGCGGGCGTAGGGAGAAGAAGGCCCCGCGCTGGTGTCCGCCCCAGGAGGTGTCGGCAGACAAACGGGCCCCCGCCCAACCCAGAACCCCCAGACCTGCAAGGGGCCGGCCCCCGCCGGCCAGCCCGCCTTTGTTCTCGCCGGAAGCGCCGGCTCGGTCCCGCTCGGTACTCACGATGTCCACGCGGCGGGCCCGGCTGGGTTCGGGGGGGCAGCCCGCACCCGCTTCCCCTGTGCGCACCGACATGGCCCCGGGCCGCGCGCCCCGGCTGCCGCCCCGGCCCCGGCGCCAGCCTCCCGGCGGCCCCAAACCCGCGGCCGTAGCCCCGCGCCCGCCATGCCGCCGCGCCCCCTGCCCCGCGCCCAAGCGGGCCGCCCCGCCCTCGTCCCGCCCCGCCCCGCCCCAGTCCGGGTCGCTCCGCCCCCCCAGATCCGCCCCTCGCCCGGATCCCAGCCGGGCCGCCCCGGCCCCGCCCCTCGCCCCGCCCTCTGCCGGGTAGACACGCCCCCAGTCCGGACCGGACCGCCCCGGCCCCTCCCCTCGCGCGGCCCTGCCCGGGCCTCCGTTTCTCCCCCGACCGCCCCGAGGGGGCGCACGGGCGCTAGGAGGAAGCCCGAGGGGGCCTGCCGGAGGAGTCAGGAAGCCTCAGGGGCGAACGGGCAGCTGCTTCACAGCCCCGCGGCTAGAAGGCCCCCGCCCGGACCCCAGCCCCACCCGGCTCCGTGCGGCGGAGCCCTTGGGAAAATGCCTCCTTCTCCCCGGACCCCACCCTGAGGGGCTCTGGTCAGTCGGGGCGAGGACCGCCCTGCCTCTCGGCTCAGGCGGGGCTGGTGGGCGAGAGTGCCCCCTCCGGGGAAGGCTGCGGCGCCGGTCTGACCCGGGATTCCCCGCAGGAGTCAGGGGTCTGGTCCTGGGCACCTCCCACCTTCTTGGAAGTCGGTGGGCACTCTCCCAGGAGACCCCCTAGGTTGGCAGAGGCCCTTGGTGGCCTCCCCACCATTCTGCCTCCCCTACTGCTGACCAACATGGGCCACGGGCAGCAGAGGGCAGGTCTAGCTTCAGCCCTGCTCCCACCTGGCTGCGCGCCCCTGGTTCCCAGCTGCCTTCTCAGGCCAGCGCTCAGACCCCTCACCCCTGCAGCCAGCCCTGGCCTGTCCCCGCAGCCTCCCTCCGCTCCATGCCCATTCACAGTGCCCTTGCCAAGCCCTCCCAACAGCATTCCCAGCCCCCCCGCCTGTGCCCCCCTCCACCACCTCCGGTGCTACCACTTCCTCTCCTCAGTTCCCTCTGGGCCTCCAGTCTCTCCTCCATCACCCTCCCCTCCGCACATTCTCTAACACACCCCCAATGCCCATCGCTGCTCCGTTCTGAAACGCCAGGACCTGCTCCCATCCCACCAGCCCTTCCAGATCTGGCCCCTGTGGACCTCTCTCATGGGCTCTCCTCCTGCCCTCCGCCTCCCCTGTGCCTGCACCAGCCAGGCCCAGGGCACGCGTTACTCAAGTCCACCACACTCCCCACTTCAGGCCTCTGTCCACTGTGTTTCCACTGGCTCCTCTTCCAACTGAGCTAACTCAACCCTCAAGAGTTGGTCCAAATGAACACCCGTCCTTCACAAACTCAGCCAAAAACCAGAGGAAGGCACTCATTCTGAAAGGCCAGCATTACCTTGATACCAAAACCAAAGACCTCACAAGAAAACTACAGACCAGTATCCCTTATGAGTGTAGACAGAAAGTTCCTCACCAAAACACTAGCAAGCTGAATCCAACACCACACACAATGAATTCTAGACCACACCTAGTGGGATTTAACCTAGGAATGCAAGCTTGATCTAACAGTCAAAATTCAAAGAATGTAGAAAATTCCTTGGTGGTTCAGTTCTTAAGACAGCGCTTTCACTGCCAGGGCCTGGGTTCAACCCCTGGTGGGGGAATTAAGATCTCGCAAGCTGGCACTGGGGCCAAAAAAAAGTCAAAAAGCAAAATTCAAAGCATGTTATACATTATATCACCCTGCTTATTTAACTTCTATGCAGAGTACATCACGTAAAATGCCAGGCTGGTAAAGCACAAGCTGGAATCAAGATTGCCGGGAGAAATATCAATAACCTCAGATATGCAGATAACCCCACTCTTAGGGCAGAAAGCAAAGAGGAATGAAAGAGCCTCGAGGAAGGCGAAAGAGAGTGAAAAACCTGGCTTAAATCTCAACATTCAAAAAACGAAGATCATGGCATCCGGTCCCATCAACTTCATGGCAAACAGATGGGGCAACAATGGAAACAGTGAGAGATTTTATTTTCTTGGGCTCCAAAATCACTGCAGATGGTGACTGCAGCCATGAAATTAAAAGACACTTGCTCCTTGGAAGAAAAGCTGTATCAAACCTAGACAGCATATTAAAAAGCAGAGACATTACTTTGCCGACAAAGTCCTTCAAGTCAAAGCTGTGGTTTTTTTCAGGAGTCATGTATAGATGTGAGAGCTGGACCATTAAGAAGGCTGAGTGCCAAAAAACTGATGCTTTTAAACTGTGGTGCTGGAGAAGACTCTTGCGAGTTCCTTGGACTGCAAGGAGAGCAAACCAATCCATCCTAAAGGAAATCAGTCCTGAATATTCATCGGAAGGACTGATGCCCAAGCTGAAACTCCAATACTTCGGCCACCTGATGCAAAGAACCGACTCATTGGAAAAGCCCCTGATGGGAAAGATTGAAGGCGGGAGAAGAAGGGGACGACAGAGTATGAGGTGATTGGATGGCATCACTGACTTGATGAACATGTGTTTGCGCAAGCTCTGGGAGATGGTGAAGGACAGTGAAGCCTGGCATGTCCATGGGGTCGCAAAGAATCAGACACGACTGAGCAACTTAACACTACAGTACAAATCTAATAAAGTACAAAACCACACAACTGTCTCAGCCTGCTGTGCTTAGTCACTCAGGCATGTCTGACTCTTTGTGACCCCATGGACTGTAGCCCGCCAGGCTCTTCTGTCCATGGGGATTCTCCAGGCAAGAATACTAGAGTGGGTGCCATGCCCTCCTCCAGGAGATCTTCCCAATGCAGGGTTCAAACCCAGGTCTCCTGCACTGTAGGTGGATTCTTTACCATCTGAGCCACCGAGGAGGCCCAAGAATACTGGAGTGGGCAGTGGGAGAGTGTCCCCTCTCCAGGGGGTCTTCTGACTCAGGAATTGAATCTGACTCAGGAATGCAGGGGTCTCCTGCATTGCAGGCTCATTCTTTACCAGCTGAGCTACCAGGGAAGCCCCAACTGTCTCAACAGAAGCAGAAAAAGCACTTAACAAAATCTGGCAATTCTTCATGATAAGAACACTCAATAGGGATTTCCCTGGTGGCCCAGTGGCTGATCCTCTGCACTCCCAATGCAAGACGTTCAGGTTCAATCCCTGGTCAGGGAACTAGATCCCACATGCCGCAACTGAGAGTTCACAGGCCTCAACGAAACATCCCACATGCAGTAACAAAGAAAGACTAAACACGCCATGTGCTGCACCTAAGACCTGGTGCAGACAAGTAAACTTTTTTTTTTTAAAGAACATTCAACAAACTAGGAGTAGGAGGAAACTTCCTCAACCTGGTGAAGAACGTCTATGAAAAACCCTGAGCGAACATCACGATTAGCGGTGAGTGACCGAAAGCTTCCTCTCCAGTGAGGAACAAGGGAAGGACATTTTTATTCACCATTGAGCCAGAGTTTCCAGGAGAGTTATGCAGAAAGAAGAAATAAGAGCTATGCAGATTGGCAAGGAAAAAGTAAAACTGTTCAGAGGTTAGATGGTCAGGAAAAACCCCAGGGATCCACTAAAGAATGTTTAGAAATAATAAACAAGCTCAGCAAGGCGGCAGGACAGCAGATGGACACATAAAACTCCGCCGTATTTCCCTCTGCCAGCAACAATCCGAAAATGAAACAGGAGCTAGCTCAGCTGTCCTTCTTCAGGTGGTCCTCCCCGACTTAAGACGGGGCACCCGGGCACAGAAGGGGCACCAGGCTGTCCCACAGGGGGAGCAGAATGCTGCTGCCCTGGGTGGTGGGGACTGCAGGTGGCCTGGAAGCCAGAGGAAGTGGACACAGAGCCCCCAGCCCACTCCATCGCCTCCTCCCCAGTCTGTAAGGAGACCTGGCATCTTTTTGGGGGCAGGGGCGCCAGAGGCAGAGCTGAGGACTGATAGAGCCCACCCCTCCTCCTGGCTCCGCACCTGAAGCAGAGGGAGCCGGGCGGCCCCAAAGTCCCACCCTGGTCGGCTCGGCGGCCAGGCGGGCACAGGCCTGTGAAGGGCTCGGTCTCACCTGGCCACAGCCCCCTCTGTGGACCGGAGGAGCGCTCCTGGTGCCCACTGGCTGACCTGGTAGCAGGCCTGCCTGTGCTCCACCGTCACCTCCTCTGCTTCAGAGACAGACAACGACGTTCCGCCGCCCCCCTCCAGAGGGTGGACCTTGGCAGGGCCGGCTCATCCTGATGCCCCTGCATCCTCTGGGCCCCCGGCCCTGCCCCGCGCCCCTCGGACCTGCCCAGGAGCCCAGCACCAGGCAGCTCTCTGGTCTCTGCTCCGTGCTCACCCCCACCTTCTCTGAAAGCTGAGACTGGTCTGTGGGACCCAGGCCCGAGGCTGCAGCACCCAGGGGCAGAGCAGGCAGGTGAGAACCGCTCCTCCTCGCATAGACAGCCCTGGGCTCCAGGAAGTGCAGGCTCTGTGGCTCCTCCTCCCCCTGGGGTGTGAGTCCCCGGGGCCTGTGGTCATCCCCTGAAAAGGCCCACACACCCAGCCACCGTCACGGATGGCGCACCCAGGCAGGACGCGTGCATGAGCCGCACGACGCGGGTGAGAGGTTCTGTGCATGCTCTTTGGCATGTGTGCACACGCGTGTGCTCCGTGTGAGCCTGTGCACGAGAGCAGAGCTCCCTCGGCTCCCCTTCCCGACACCTGCAGACCTGCGGCCCTGGCTGTGGCGAAGGAGCCGGCGCCTCGTGTGACCACAGCGCTAGGGGTTCCTGTCGGTGGTCACTGGCCGCCGGTCTGTGAGCACTGCAGGGAGGGGAGGCCAGGGCTCTCAGGGTCCCCAGGGCAGTCATTCGCACACTCACAACTATTCACACACTCACTTGTCACAGGCACACGTGTGTGCTTACTCACACACACCTATCTGCACATGCTCATACATGCCACCTCCACACATGCCCTCAAACGCACACATGGACTCGCTCAGCTGTTCACACTCACACACGTGCACACACTCATCGACACGTGTGCATGCTCACGTTCATTCTTACATGTGTGTTCACCCTCACACACGGCCGCGTGCACTCCAACATACTCAGAGACACGCACTGACTCCCACATGTACTCACACACACCCTCCAGGGTGTTAGGGTTAGTGTTAACCCTCCAGGGGCTGAGAGGACCCTCTGTGGGGGGTCCCGTCCCCTGGGCAAGGCAGCTTGAGCGCCAGAGTCATCAGCACCGCCCACAGCCCTGCACTCGTCCAGCGCCGGGCCTGACCGCTCCTTAAACCCCACAGCGCTGCTCTGCCCCCAGCTCACGGGCTCGCCCGGGACACCCCGGGCACACACCATGTGCCAGGCTCCGTGCTTCTCAGGGATCACCCACGTCACCACCCCAGCACCCCTTGACGTGTGAACCAGCATCGTGCCCACTGTTGAAGACAGAGAGGGTCAGAGATGCTGAGTAATTCCCAAGCACACGGCCCTGCCGCCCCACCCGGGCACTCAGCGGGCACTAGGTGGCGCCTGAGGGGTGGGGCGCAGCGCCTCTGGGTTCAGTCTCCTCTTTCAATTGCTCCTCTCCCTTCCTCTTCCCTGAATCTTTCTCCACAAAAGAATGGAAACCAAAAGAAAACCACCTCCAACGAAACAAAAAAAAAACCCATCTCCCACGAAGGCTGGTGAGCAGCCACGCCAGGGGGTTGGCGCACGACCCGGGCTGGGGTCCCTGAGACCCCAGGCTCTTGAGCCCCCTGCCAGGCACCCAGGCATGGGGCATGGCGCTCCACGAACGGGGTGGGCGGTGGGCAGTCGGCGGGGCTCACATGGCTCTGCATTCCCCCAGTGCAGGCACACTCACACACACACAGTCACACTCACACACACTCACAGCATGTGAACCCAGGACCCAGTGCCCACACCCCCTGGGCAGGGCAGGGTGTCCGGTGGAAGGCCCACACCAACCTGGGGCCTTCTGCAGGCTGGCCGGCCGAGCGGCGCAGGCCATGGGCTCCCACCGGCTGCCCCGTCCATCCCTGGCCTCTCCTCTCCTCTCCTCCTGGGGCTCGGGGCCAGGGTCCTGTGCGTCCCACCGCCCCGCCCCGAGGAGGGTGGGTCCGGGCTCACACGCGGGCCCCCCGGAGCGGGTCTACAGGCGCTGGGCCGTCACGGGCTCCCAAGCCCCCAGCCCCGGGGCCGCCCCACTGACCTGGTGGCGCTGAGCCAGCACATGGCTCTCCTCCTGCCTGGCGACGGCCTGGGGGCAGGTGTCCTGGGGTCCAGGAAGGCCATGCGGCTCAGGGGCCATGGGGCGCGGCTTCGGCCGGCATCCCGGGGCAGGTGAGCCGCCCGCTCCCTCCTGCTGACAGCCGCCCGCCGCCTCTGTCTGGGGCCTGTGGCCGCCGGGGCTCCTCCCCCGCCCAGGACTTCCTGCTGCCGGGCCCCTGGGCAGCCCCGGGTAGCCAGCACTTCCTGTGAGGCCCAATGGTGCACCCGCTCTGTAATCTGGCCTGCTAGCTTTCAGTCGTGCCCACTGTGGCCAGAGACGACACTCGCCAGGCCCCAGGACGAGGCCAGCTGTGACCACCCCCCGCCCCGGGGAGGAAGCCCCTTGCCAGGGTCCCACCCCCTACCCCAGGGCCACCTCTGCGGATTGGGCTTCTTCCCAGCAAATCACAGGAGCCCTGAATTCCAGGGCGTCAGGCCCAGCTTCCCTGGCCCCAAAGACAGCCGCACACGAAGTCACGACCTCCCCGGGGCGCCCCGCAGGCCAGAACACGGACTCTGCCATGCAGCTCCGCCTCCTGAGGCCACACGCAGGGGCCCACACCTCTCACAGCAGGAGACCTCCACGTGTCGAAGTGGCCGCCTCTCTGCCCTTTGACCCCAAGGGGCGAAGGATGGACGGGATGCCAGCCTTCCCTCTGCGTCCCCCAGGCCTCTCTGCCCCTCCCACGCCCACGCCAGGTGCAGCCTCTGTGACACAGCTGGGCTCACACCCCCCCACCGAGCGCACTAGCGGCTCCCCGGCAAACACCTGGGTTGCTAGAAAGCATGTCGCCCTGAGTGGCCAAGCGCGCTCCGTCCCTGCCTGGTCCCCACCCGGGTCCCACTCACACGCAGCCCACCCAGCCCCCAGGCCTGCTCTGCCCCTCCAAGCTGGGCTTCCTCCTCAACCCGGAAGCTGGGAGCAGGGAGGTCAGCCCAAGCTGCTGGGCACTGAGCCCCGTGCCCCCTGCTTCCCCTCCCGAGCTTCAGCTGGGGGACGGAGCGCTTCAGGGCCCCGCGGCCGCAGGGTCTGAGGGGCATGGCGGGTCCTCGGGCGCTGCAGAGGCTCGTCCTGGCCTGCCCAACAGGTATCCCAGGGCAAGACCCACGGCCGGCCTGCGGGCACCTGGTTGCACACACATCCAGGTGTCCAGCTTGGGCCTCAGACAAACCCCCCCTGCCCCGCCCCGCCGTCTCCTGGATGGGGAACTTGGGTTTGTGCGTCCTCACTCTGCTCAGGGAGCACCCTGGCCTCCCCCCCAAGCAGCAGCCTCAGTGCCCGCCGGGGGCCGTGGGCAGACGGCGCCTACAGCAGACAGCTGACCACAGCCCATGGGCAGGGGGTGGCAGGGAGGTAAAGGGGGCCTCCTCCTGTCCACCCTCGCAGCCTGCCCAGAGTGGGGAGGGAGCCCCAGCCAGCCTCTGTCCTGTGCAGGCAGAGATGGGAGCAGGCAAAGGACCACACCTGCGGGAGCCGTGGGGTCTCCATGGAGGTCAGACCGCGCTGGCCCCTTCCCTACCCTATTTCCTCAGGGAGGCCGAGGCCAGGATTCCTGGGGCCCCCGCTCCAGGCCTCCCGGTTTGTCCCAGTGACCTTCCCTCTCTCCCCGCTCCAGGCCTCCCAGTTTCTCCCAGTGACCTCCCATCTCTCCCCGCTCCAGGATTCCCAGTTTCTCCCAGTGACCTCCCATCTCTCCCGCTCCAGGCCTCCCGGTTTCTCCCAGTTTCTCCCGGCTTCTCCCAGTGACCGTCCCTCTCTCCCCGCTCCAGGATTCCCAGTTTCTCCCAGTGACCTCCCATCTCTCCCGCTCCAGGCCTCCAGGTTTGTCCCAGTGACCTCCCATCTCTCCGCGCTCCAGGATTCCCAGTTTCTCCCAGTGACCTCCCATCTCTCCCCACTCCACAGTTCCCAGTTTCTCCCAGTGACCTCCCATCTCTCCCGCTCCAGGCCCCCCAGTTTCTCCCGGCCGCTCCCTGCCCCCCAGGCCGCAGTTCATCTTTGCAACAAATAACGCTGCTTTCATTAGGTGGCCCAGCTGGCGCAGAATCCGCCTGCAGTGCGGGAGACCAGGTTCCATCCCTGGGTTGGGAAGACCCCCTGGAGAAGGGAACGGCTACCCACTCCAGTATTCTGGCCTGGAGAACTCCGTGGACTGTATGGTCCATGGGGTCACAAAGAGTCAGACACGACTGAGCGACTTTCACTTCATTTCACTTCACGTTCCTGAAACAGAGGGTGTTCAGGGCCCCCCCTTCAGTAGTGGGAACCGCCTCCCCGCCCCACGAGACTGGGGATAACCATCATCCAAGCAGTAAGATGGGTGGGGCTGGGGTCCCAACTCTGGGAAGCTCCGGTTTCCACCCCACCTTCCCCAAGTTGTAGCTCTTCCCCCAGCCCCCAGGGCGGCTGCCTCTAAATTCCAGGCTTGGGGACCACCCACCGAGCCACACACTTACCAGGGTGGGTGGGACTAGCCAGCTGCTGGGCAGGGGCCGGTGTCAGCCTGCGAAAAAGGGAGGAGAGCCTTCTGGGTTCCAGGGTCCTCGACCTCCTCTGGAGCAAGGCGCAGGCCGGCGCAGCACCGCCCCTGCCGCAGGCTGTGAAGCCTGTCTCACCCTGGTTTTCACAGCCCACTCACCCGCGCTGACCACGGGGGCGCGGGGCTTCATGGAGCAGGGCGCTGGCCGAGCCAACGGCCAGGGAGCGGAGGTGTGGGCACCGGAACCACGGCCCTGGCAACCCCAGGCTCCCCTGTGCTCAGCCCGGCGCCCGCCTGCTGCCTTTGTGCCAAGGAGAGCCTGAAGGCTCAGGGAGGGCCCTGTGCCCAGGGCAGGGTGACTGGCACCTCCACTGGTGAAAACCTCAAGCTCTCAAAATAAGACGCTTTGCATCAGTCCCCGCGAAGGGCTCGGGGCCACCCACAGCCAGCCTAGGGCCCACCTACTTGGTCCCCACCCTGCAGGACCAGGGCCCCCGAGCCCTTCCCCTCCTCTCTGAGCCAGTTCTTCTCTGCCTGGCACTGTGACCCGCCTTCCGGCGAGGGGATGCGAGGAGCCCCGGGAACTCGGGCCAGGGTGCCATCCAGCTGGGCAGAGTGAGCGGGGGGCGTAGGGGCAGAGTCCTGCCCAGGGTCACCCCGTGTTGCGGGCTGAATGGGGGCCCCCGAGTCCCTGGGAACTGTGATTGACCTTACTTGGGGAAGGATCTTCGCATACATGACTAAGGATCTCACCCTGGTTTAGCCAGATGGGCCCTAAATGAAACAGCAAGCATCCTTGTAACAGACAAAAGAGGAAGAACTCGAGGAAGAAGTCAGCTTTGTGTCACCAGAGGCAGAGAGTGGAAAGAGAGGGAATCGGAGGAAGGCTGTCAAAAGGTACAAACTTCCAGTTCTAAGGTGGATAAATCCTAGGGAAGCGATGGACGACATGGTGACCGGCCGACACTGCTGTGTGATACACGGGAAAGCTGGAAAGAGAATACATCCTGCGAGTTCTCATCATAAGAAAACATTTTCTTCTTTTTTTTTTCTTTTCATTGTATCTATATAAGAAGACAGATGCTGGCTGGATCTATTGTGGCAATCCTCTCACAATATATGCAAGTCAACCATCATGCTGTGGGCCTTCAATTTAAAAATAGAGAGAGAAGACAGAGGAGAAGGGGAAGGCAGAGGCAGAGACTGGGGTGACATGCGCCTAAACCAAGGAAGCCCAGGCCAGCAGGCAGCCCCCAGGAAGCTGGAAGACAGAGAATGAGGAAGGATTCGCCCTGGAGCCCTCGAGGGAGTAGGGTGCTGCTGACATCGTGACTTTGAAGTCCGGCCTCCAGGACTGTGAGAATACATTTCTGTGTTTCACAGCCCCCCGCTGGCGGCACTTGGTTAGGGCGGCCGTGAGAAACTATTTCACATGGGGACTTGCCCACGTTCTTCCCTGGATGAAGTCACAGTTGGTTAGAAGCCCGGGGCGTGCCCTGCAGGGTGAGGCTGGCTCTGTGAGGGCCCCCTGGGCATGAGGCTGGACAGGGTACATCTGGGCAGCCTCCCTGGACATCCACGGCCTCCTGTGGGCCTGGCTCACCACCTCCCACGCCCGCCGTGCACCGGCTAAGGCCAGGCCCGGCCCACACTCAGCAGACCTGCAGGGTCCACCTCCCGGCCAGCCTCTCCTTCGCTCTGTCCAGCCACCTCCACCGCGGAGCAGAGGTCAGGCTGGCCCCTGGCTGAGCGTGCGGGGTCTGGCCCCTGCTCGCTGCCCTGGGCCCTCGGCTGTGGGCCTATCACAAGGACCACTGCGCCCCATTCTCAGACTGCAATCTCCTCCGCTGGAAGCCATTTCCTCTCCAAAAGGCCCCCGCATCCTTTGCGAGAAGGACCTTCTAGGACCTCAGCCCCTTCCCTGCAGTCTCCAAGTCAGTGGCACAGCCTTATGCATCACATGTGTGACCCCAGCGTCCCCCACGGGCCTGCGTCCCCCTGTATGCCCAGAGCCCAGTGCCTGGCCCACCAAAGGGACCAAGAGACCGAAGGATGAGTGGTCAGGTGGGCTCACTATTGCGTCTACACACACGGCCACACCCTTACATGGCTACACCAGCACATGCCTGGCCTGGGCTGTCCCCCAGAGCCAGAGTGAGGAAAGAAGCTGACCCCCAACGAGAACGGAGGTCCAGTGGCTGCCGCAAAGCCCCGTGGCCCCAGGACCTCTGTCTGGTGAGTGAGCCGTTGGCCAGCACTGGGTGAGCCCTGGGGTCTGCTCACTGCAAGACAGAGACCAGGCCAGCACCGTGTCGGGGTCTAGGAGGCCCCCCGGGACTTGTCAGGGCTGCCCAGGGTGGGGTCGCGAGGCAGTCCAGCCGCTGCTGTGGGCGGGGACAGAGGGAATTGGGGAAGTGCAGAAAGACGCTGGCATGCACAGCTGCCCACACGGAGCCGAAGCTTCCGAGGGCGGTGGCCAAACGGGGGCAGGAGTGTGGTTTCGGGACCCTTGCCTCGAGCTCTGTCCCCACAGACAACTCAAAG